GAGCCGTTTTTAAGAAAATGTTGGGAATTGAAATGTTGAAAATTTTGAGCTCATTTTTACGGAAAAGTTTTGAGTTTTGCAGAAACTTCAATACAAATTATTTGAAGCCTTTGTACTCACAAATACAGTATATAAAAACTACATTTATATTAATGATGTGAGAGATTGAAAAATACAATTGTGTAATTTTTGAGAAACACACACACACAAAGAACAGACTACATCAAAATGACATTTATGTCGTATTGTTCAACGCATTGAGATTCATCCATGGAAAAAGTTCAAAGACAAAAATTGAAGCCGTTTCTGAGAAAATTTTGTTTTTAATATTTTTTTAAATATTGCCAATATTTCACTCAACAATTTAATATTTAAAACTTTAATTTTTAATATTTTCAGACCTATGAATATAACTTAATTAAAGAACTAATTCTGGTGAACAAATTTCATACGAAGAGAAAGTCTCTATCTTCAATATTGTAGTTATTGGAAGTGGCCGAAAAAATTTCAAACTTTGACATTTTCAAAATTCAGGGATAACTGTGAAAACCGGACCTATGCCATCTCTACGTGTACTTTACTCATTATTTCAAGCAATTTAAAGAAAAAACTTATAGCTCTTTTTCAGAAAATTTTGAAAATGTTCCATGGGCTTTAGGTAAAGAACTCCTAAATTTTAAAGAATTCTTCTCAAAATCGCAGGATTTTGAGTCGTACCAAAACGATTTTGAAATATTCATTTTGGCAAAATTCCTACAAGTTGTTCAAACGCTAGTGTTCTTCACAGCCACACACGGACAGACGGACGTTTTGGAAAAGAAAAAAAGTACTTTTTCGGTGTCAGGCAATCTCAAACGTATATTTCCGTTAAAATCTCAAAATTGATTATTGTTATGACAAATAGTACATGATAGTGTGAGTGTCATTAAGGAAATAAACTCTGCTTTGCTCGCTAGTTCAAAAACAATGAGGTGGCAAAATCGGGGCCCTAATTCGTATTTAAATTGAGTGATAATGTTTTATGCGAACATTTTCAGCTACAGTAAACAAGCACATAGCTCATTTCAAGACCTGTATCAACAATAAAATTGCCATCTTTAGAACTGTCAAATTATTGACATATCACAGAAATAATCTAAAAAGGGACATTTTACACAAATAAGGTTAATAATCACGAATAATTTACATAATTAGCTATTATTATGCATGCGCACTTGTTAATAGAATAAAATATTTGTTCTTACGAAGCAAATTTACATTTAAGATATGTTTAATCGGGCAAGTAGCCAATAAAAAACTTTTTTTCCACAATGTGTGTTTGGAATATGATCTTGCTGCTTTTAAAACTCAAGAATCATATTAGAAAATCGTGTAAAATTCTTTGCACGTCGTGTTCATGTTTATTGAACTTATGTTTGATTTTTCTTGTACGTTAATAAAACAGCACACCTGCGTCTAGTTTACGTCTATATGATGATATTTTAATGTGAGTGAAGCGATCATATAGCTCTAGGTTGAACTAGGTTCAAATACTCAGGCGATGAATCCTTGAAATATAATAGCTGCCTGTATATTTCGACGATTCACGGGTCGATTACTTTAGAATAGCGGCCGTAATTATTTTACGTAAAATACGGATCAGGTGGAAACCCTAAACACCAAATCGTACATAACTATATGGATATCGTGTTAGAAATAAACTGTTTTGTGTTCGATAGTTTAAAATATTTGAGAAGGTGATTTTTACTCCCACGTTCTGAAAGTGTTGAAGTTCAAAATATTAACAAAAGCAATTTTACTACTATTATTTCTGAGTTTATACTTAGCCTTTAATTATTGCATAAGTGTTTTTGTAGGATATTTGTATTTTATTTTGTTTTGATTTTCGTTTCAGCTGAGTTAATTCTAAATCGAGCTAAACGTTTCATTTTTTAGAAAACTACAAGAGCCTAACTTTAAGGATAGACCATTTAATTAGCTTGAAATTATGAGATATCTTTAGTTGTGTTCTGCTGTAGTGTGTCAGCCAGCTTGACGGACATCTCTATAACAAGTTTCCACAGATGGTTATCAGTAAGGAGCCGATTTTAATGAAAAGTCATTTTTTCTTTTCATTTTGAAAATTTATTATCAATTATTTGCTTCAAGTAATATTTTCGAGATACAACAAATGTTCTCCATAGAATTCCTGAGTGACCTATTCATTTTCTTAGCACAGAAATTGTACTGCCAGCCGTTGTGTGTAATGTAAGGTCCCTGTAACGCCTAAAAGCGCTACTGTCGGGTCGGCCGATTTCGCGACAATAAAGACAGAGATTTCTTGGTAAAGAACATTTCAAACCAAAAGTTTGCAAGCTGAGTTCATTTGAATGAAAGGAAGAAGCCTAGATTATATCAGCAATATTTCCAACAGTTTGGTTTGTTCATTTGAACTGGTTATGATAAAATGTTTCATGTAATTTTTCTTTGCTTTTAGGACATTTTAAAAACATTTTAAGAGCATTTTATTGGTAATTTTTGGCTATGTTTTAGATGATTAAATTTCGTCCACTAGTTATTAGGGATGCAGATAGTGATATTAGTAGAGACTCAACAGCACGACTGAGGGACAGCTTCGAGGCAAAGGACTGAAATCATCTCAGTGTCCTCAGTTTTGTCTTCAAGAAAGTAGAAGATACACGCGTCTTTTGCATTCTTTATACAAAACTATTAATTTATGTAAGAGTAACTCTGCGGGGCGATAGGACAGTAAGGAAGTTAACAGTACAATTTCATTTTATTTTTTGTGAACCAGTCACCCTTGCCTTCATTAAGCCGGCCTGGCCAAACGCTACTTTGTAACAATCTAACAAAATATAGCATAGACCGATTTAATAGAAATAGTAGGGAATTTTCCCCATGGATGTGAAACTGAAGTTTCCCCCGGAAACTGAAGTTTCTGATATTTTGTTGTTTATGCCGGTATCTAATTATACATGACATATTTATCAAAACACTACGGCCTATTTGAAAAAAACATGATAAAGAAAAAAAGGCAAAGATGTTTGTGAAAATCTTCTTTACACACGCATTTTTCTATATCGGCACGATTTTACTCAAAATTACACAAAAATACTATTTTTAAACATTATTGTATCTGACTTTATTAAAAAGATTTAACTTTGAAGAACATATTTTATTAATAGTGAGGTCAAAAACATTCTCCTTGAGGTAAATGTTTTCAACGATGATTCTGAGTGCTATGTACGGATAGCCGAGATAAAAATTTAAACATATTTTTGAACTTTACTGTTTATCAAATGTTTAATTTCAAAAACTCACACGTATTTAGAAAAAATAAATGAATGGCTGTTGTGTAGTAGAAATTAGACATTCCATTAATTTTAGGAATACATAATTAACGGTTGAACAAAAATATGTAAATCACGTTTTTTGCCTATTCATATTGTTTTGAATGAATGGCTACAAAAATATACGCCGTTTTATAATATTCGTGAAAATACTTCTTCCCCTTCTTTTTTCTGGTGACTTACAATTTCGCCATGTGACTAATATATTGTTCCTAAACTGTGAATCAATAATACTATTGGAATGGAAATCTATTGTTCAGTCTTTGCGAGAACTCGCAGAAGAGAAACAAGTTTAATTAGAAACGTGCGCGTTTTTAGTACAACTTTAGCGTCTGAACTTGTGAATTCCCTCTGCTACCAAACCTGGCTCTCACAATGGCTGGAAGTTGGACAATAGAATTAATTAACTGTTCTAAAACGGAATTCTAATTGAGCCTCGCTGGGTCGCGTCCAGGAAACATGAATATTCTGGAAGACGATGAATTCGGGTGGTGTTGAATAAAGCCAGGATTTTTGTGCTTAAATATCTATTTTGATCATAAACACACTGAATTCACTATCAGAGAAATTAAAAAAGGATCACTTTTTATACCAAATTTGCCGTCGAGAAGACTGATCTCAATTCGTTTGATATCTCTTTTGGTGCAAAAGATTAAACTCCATGGATTATTAATTAATTTTGACATTTTTTGATCTTTTCTGGGATAAAATACGTTTCCTATTGTGAGGTTGTGTCTCCAAGTCGAATCTGGTGTTACCTAAGATCCGCCACGAGTTCCTAAATTTCGCTAATACCTATCTAGTTAATCAGCTACCTAACTAATAAACTCTCTTACTATCTGTTTAACTAGTCAAGCCTAGAGGGACCCATGGACCATTCTGGTACAGCAAGAACATACTGACTTTCAGGGTGAAATAAATGAAATTGGCATTCAGGCCATCAGAGCACTTCGTCCGGCTGTTTGAATGAAGACTGCAGGACTTCGGTTGAGAATTGCGCTCCCTGTCAAATGCCAAGGAAACGAAAATCCCATCATAAACAAGCATCGTTCACACTGGCAGATCATGGAAGCCATGCCCCCCTCAAAAGACCTAGACCTACTTTCTTTATTTGGCAAAATTGATTTAAATATTTATTTACGTTCGAATTATGTAATTATTTGAACAATAATATTGTATAATATCATACTTCAGTATATGAATAATATACAATATAGTAACAAATATGTATATTACTTAACAAAAACTACGATCCCCCCCAATGATCGTCTGCATCCGCCCCTGACCGTCGGGGACTTTTGAAGTGACTCAGTCCCGACATTTGCACATCGGCGGGGACCTCTCGGGCATGCAATTACCGCTTCTGCTCCACTATGTTGTCAAAAGGTTCACGAGGCGGCTTGCAATCACCTGTCAAAGATCTACCCACCAAATACGGTACCCTGGCTTTCGCCTTTGGGTGAATCGCTCGCTTCGGCTGTCCGCAGATTTTATCCACTTAACAGAGGCTTCAATGAGAAGCAAAGTTCTTCCGCACTATGGCCCGAGTTTGAGGCATAGTGGGCCAGAACCACGACGACTTTACCCATGCCGGGTGCAAACGGGCGGATGATAGAAAGAGGCACCCAAATGCCGCGAGCTAGACAATTTTTAGGGCAGGGGCAATGCTGAAACGTAGCCCCTTCCTCCCCCCCCCCCCCCACCACGAAAAAACAGTGAAAATGAATCAAGAAACTATATGAGTTATTTTATTTATTTCAACAAATAACAAAAACTACAACGTTTACGCAAGAAAACAGTTTGGGAAATATATATTAATTAATAGTTTGAACTAAAAGTACTTAATGACCAAATAATACAATTTCCACGGCGAGTTTAAAACATTAGAAAAAAATGTTGTTTAGTGTTTAATATAATCAATTGTTGTTTAATATGTAAAATAACAAATATGAAATTCAGTAATACCCTTTTTAATGTTAGCGTCATTTGATTCACTTCCTAAAGCCCTACCTTATAAGTAATGACTATAATTAACTATTTACAATAAACATTTAATTGGAACTTTTATGAAATATCAGACTAACTTACTGCGACTTATAAAATTACGATAACGATTTTCTCCAATACTATTTTTTTTCAATTTTTTAAACTTATATTTTCCCATTATCTGACCCCCATAAGTCGCGGGGCCCCGGGCGATCGCCCGTTCTGCCCAAGGGTAGCGCCGGCACCACAAGACGCTGATGAGTGCCATCTCCAGCTCCATAGTACAGAGGCGGACCAGAGACAAATTTTGGGAGGGGAAATTAAAAAAACGTTTTGCTCCAACGTGTCATCTCAGATTTTGGAAAATGTCGCAGGCTACACGCAGCTCATGCTGTGATACGATTTTATTGGTTTTAATGATTATACAGAAATATTTTTGCTTGTAAATGTCGTGTCAAGTTAAAATTAATAGTTGCAGTAACATTTTTAGTGCGGGGGGGGGAGGGAGGATGGGGATTTTTCACCTTCTCCGTTGATCCGGCGCCTGATAGGTACAACGCCCTCCAACTCATTGGGCGTTGTATTGGGCTGTCAATAGTGCCCGCGTAGCCGCTTTCTACGTTAAAGTCTCCTGGCTTCCCTGGCCCGGGTGAGCCTCTCAGGCTGACCAGTGCATTTTTCTCATCGCCTACCTCGCCCATTTGTGACTCTCGTGATATCCTTGTCGCTTTCCCACGGGAACAGACGTGGACGGCCGATGGCGGTAACGCGCCCCGGAGAGTGGGCGACCGTCTTCACAGACTTGGCGAGTTCCTGTCAAGTTTTCCTTCGTCGAGGTCCTTCGAACCTCCGGTCCAAGCGCCGCAAATGATCTGGAGTCAGGACCCGTGAGCCGCGATAGTTCCGATTAAGTGATGTTTCATACAGAGGATACAGCTCTCGTCACGTGCCGAGAGATATTTTGGATGTGAAGAACACAGCAGGCCTGTTCGTATTTACACAGTAATACTATTAATAAGTTTATTATCGCCAGCAATCACAAGTTAGTTTTACTCTCTGTGACCTTCTTACTGGAAAATGTCACTAGTTCTTGAAGAATTTACAACAGTGTATAATAATGATACTGCTGACAACTTGTAAAGCATTACGAACGTTTAATTATTTCACTTCAAACTTATCGATTTGAATGATTGTTAGAGACACACAGAGAGGGATGATGTGAGCCAGGGCTGTCCAAATGTCGGCCCGCGAAAAGTTATTAGTCAAAGTGAAAGTCCCTTTCCTCCATGACGATTGAGAACAAACATAGTGAGACTAGCGCAGGGGTTCTGCCGAGGTCAACGCCCTCTTTAATGTAAAAATGGGTGTAGTTAAGATTAAATATATTTCTTTCTAGAAAATACAGCAGTTCCAAATAATCCTTATGTGTGGCAAAATCATTGATTTTCCATCACATTGAATGCAAGGTACGACCTGATATCATGCATGGTTCCTTAACCAACCCACCCATTTCAGACCCGCAAGGCAAATTGCCGAGAACAACAATATGGGCGCCAGGAATGGTTCGCCCAAGTTATGAAAATATGGCCCGCAATCATATTAAATGTCGTATGTGTGGCCTTGGCAATTTGATAACCTCTGATGTAAGCTATGTCCGTATGTTCTTATCATGGTTTTATAATATAATCACCAGAACTTTTACATAGTAAAATCCTCTCTGGGAAGATTATTGCATCAGGCCAACTCCTGGTTCATCATTTATAATGTAAAATATATTCAATGATTTTTAGTTTTAAAGTGTTCAGTTGTGATTGTGGGTGTAGTAAAGTGTATTTCACACACAGCAAATATGTACATTTTTTTGCCATTCATCTGAGAACAGATTCATGAATAAAAATGTTGCAGTTAATATCCATATTTTAACTTTCAACAATGCAACGTTTCAAGGCTGTGTCCCCAATAATCGAGCTTATTTATTTTGTAGTTTAAATTATAATATTTTTTTCTTTCTTTGGCAGACTCCAAAAGTAGCAAGTTTGTCCGGAATTGTTGAATTGTTAAGAAATGGATATTAACTATATTTTCATTCAAGAATCTGTTTGTCGAATGGCCAAACAATTTTTCATTATTAATTGAGAATAATAGACAAGAATTTTAATATTACTGCAACGCAAGAAAACTCCTGTCTCTCTCTCTGTATTTTTTTGTATCTGCCACACTCTCTCTCCCTCGGTCTGTCTGGTTCTCCTGAGTGTTGCCCTGAGTCACACAACAATAATGAAGCCCAGGTGGGACATGGTTTGAATGGAAATTGAATTCAAATGAAGCGCAATTGTGTTCTGCAGCATTATCTAGTAGAGTTACAACAAAATTAACAGCACATAAACCTTCTTGGTGAAAAACACAATGTGCCAACTTTGACACTGGGTGACTGACCTCTGTGAGAGTTGGCCACTTTTATAAATATCAACATACATTTTTATATATAGAGATTATGGTACATTAAGTATTTTAAAAAAAATTTAATATGTTAATTTTTATTAAAAAACAAACAACACAGCAAGAAAACACACCTCAAATATACAACAAATAAAAACACTTTGTTTCATCTTGTTACTAAAACGTAACATGTAGCAAATGAAGAATATCACCACATAAATGGAGCTCGTTCCCTTAAAAGTTTCAGGCCAATTTTCCCCCACTCCAATGGATAGATCCACAGCTCCTGAGCAGACTCTAAACATGACATAATGGCAGCACCCTTCCACTGTGTGATCTGTGGGTCCATTTCCTTCGGAGCAGTGACTATGTCCAGTTGTTCTGAAGCACACAAAAAGAGAAATATTAGGTTTTCTTGCCTTGGATTTCAAGGCATTTATACTGACACAGTGAAAGTGGGGAAAAACAACAACAACAACAACAACACCACCGCCTGCTTACCAGCTCTGTACATGTATGGAATCTGCAATGATATCCTATTCTGCAACCAGGTACCTATACCAACAAACTTCATTCCACCTCCAACTACCAAAATACATCCGTACATCTTCCTTTTCAGGTCTTCAGAGGCTGTGGACAGAGGATAAGAGTGTTCAAAATTTAAATTATTACTGTTTAATTTTTTTTAAATTCACAGGTACTGTAAGAATAGACACATACAAATGAGATTAATAAAGTCCATTTCGGTAAAGACCCACAAGTGTTTTGATAATGACATTTTGCCCTTATTAAGATGAATCCTATGTAGACAATACTCTAAAATCAAAAACTACCCAGGATCATGAAACACCCAGAAACATGACAAAATAACCCCCTCAGAACTATTTTTTCAACACAAACTTTGAATTCAAACTCCCTGACATTTTGCAATCTCATATAATCTGTTTTTGAAAACTGGTATCTTACTGAGAGGAGAAAGATGCTTACCAGATGAATGAAGAGAGACTGGACACATGAGTGTGTGTATAAAATAATTAAATGGTACAGGGAACAAGGACTCTCTTCTAATCTTCTAAAAGTTGCTTTAATCAAAGTTTTTGTGTGGATTAACTACAGTTTTAACCATAGTTACAGAAGCAAGATGTTCTATGACCACTAAACCACTTTATTTTATACATTCAATAATCTTCCGAATTACTTACGACATCTGTCTATGCTCTGCAGAACTGCCTGGTCAAGGCCCAGAATTTGACCTGGCCCAAGGAGGAAGTCTTTAGCTTCTACATCCCTCCCTCCGGCTGGTGCTGCCACGTCAATGGCATCTACCACAATGTCTTCATCACCACCAGGCCCTCCTACACCACTAATATCCAGCCCCGCACCCTCCATGTCAGCAGCTCCTCCAGCAAGGGGTTCCAGGGCCTCCTTGGGTCCCCGGCGCTGCAGGGCAGACAAATCCCTAATACAGTGAAACCCTATTTTAAGGTAAAATATTTCTGACGTTGAAAATGCTGCTATAAGAAAAATGCATTTCAAACCCCGATTTAGTTGTATTTACTTGTTTACACAACCTGCATTTAAGTTGGACTGAGTCTCAACAGAACACTTAATGTTTTGGGGCCAGTGTTAGCATTTTCCAGCAAAATGATATGTAAGCAACTTGTAGGTAAGAAAAACAAAAGCACAACAGATTGTGGGTGATAGAAGCAGTGCAAAGAGATTCTTACTTTCCGGCATATTTGTTCAATGTTCATGTTCCTCACACAGTTTGCTTTCTTCAATACTACTGTATCACTGTACTGATCAGTATCACTGATCTTTGGATGCAAAGGTGAAAATAAACCATATATTGAAAATTTTTGTTTTCTGCTATTGAAATAAACTAGCACCCATTTAAGGAAATGTTGAAAAAATTATGGTCTCCCTGGATTGTAGTAAACAGGGGCAGGAGTGTCACTGTATTTACTCCTTTCAAACCAGGAAGAGAAGTTAGCACAAACATTTACTCAACTTTAGAGATTTTTCATTGCAACTCTATAGATCATACGGAATCTTTCAGAGATAAAATAAACATACTTATTAATTTATTTAACAAGGCTTTCTGTTCAGTTATGTTTCTAGTAGAGTTTTGGCTTAATTATTCTAGTCTATTGGTGTTAATAACTGGTACGTACACTTGTTTCCCGAAGATAGCTGTCATCATGTGGATCTTCGGGGTCTCCTGAATAGCGCTTCTGGACATGCACAGACTTCGTCCCTGTTACCCCAAACAATTCTGGTTGAAACAAACTTAATGGAGCTACTATACACTCATCTCCAACCTATAACGATAAGAAAATTTTACTATACTAGAAAAATGAAAAATATTTTTTAGAAAATTGTACTTGGGGAAAAACAAATTATTTACTTGAAGTGTGTATTTCATTGTAGGAACCTTGGGCTGACGTACAACAAAATTCTTCTCTTGAGAACCACATATATCCTGTAATTAAAATAAAGAGCTATAGGAAAAACATCTCGGAGCAAAAAAAAAAGTAAGGAAGCATCTCAAAGCAAGTGTATCAATACCAAATTAACATGACAGAATGTTTCTTTTAGTTGTCGCAATAACATTGCATCCAACTTATTGCTTGGGTCACAGGTCTTATAAGGAAATGCACATTTCTGGAGCAACCAGTGGAACGTCTGAGTTATATCAGCACCTCCATAGTCCATGCGAACCTAAAACAATTCATCACTTCTTCATTAATGATCAATACAAGCTTAAATTATTTAATTTTTCAGAGAATTACATACCCTAGTATTTCGGTGTGAAATTCCATCTTCAACACAGGAAACAGATGTTTTCTGATCACCAATGTCTATCACACAGGCATATCCAAGGCCAGCACCAAAAGTTGCAGCAACATGATCCTTCAAATAGTCAATAAAATCACAATGGAAAGAAAATGATAGCATTTTATTTCTTCTATGAATGTTGCTTTTATTAAAATAATTTTTCTGAACATCATATGCAGCTTGTACAATTAGTAATATCCAACTACATTCTTAATGGATCATTTACCTCTAAATGGGTTTCAGCACAAAAAAGGCCTTGCCACAATAATACAACTAAAATCTATTCCCTAAAATTTTAAAGAATATATTGTGTTAAAGAATTACCTGCACTAAAAAGCAGCCACCAAATCCAATTCTGCATAGAAGTAAAGTTGTTAGTTCCTTTAAATATTGCCTATTATAAATATCAGGTATGACCAATACAGCACGATAATGCTACAACAAGCAATCATGTTAATACATAACAAATTTTACTAAATTTACATTTTGTATAAAAGGGACTCTACTTAAATGTAAGTGAATTTCTGAAATTCAATGGTCCCGATATTAAATGACGTCAACAAATTGTTGAAGCCTTCCCTAAAACTACGTGGCCTTTTTTGACATACCCTAAGATTCTTCAGAGGAATTTCCAAACGATGTTTGATGACCCAACTCCAAATTGTTTCAAGATTTGACAGCACACCTGTCAATGACCCACCAGGTCCTCCATGCAGATGTAAATCACCACGTCTATATGGAAAGTGAATATTATAGTCTAAGTTGGGATTTAGGTATAACACCTGCAAAACACACATACTGTTATTCAAAATTCTAATCTTAAATATCACACAATTTTAATCAGAGTTTGTGTCTAACCTCATCACCAACAACTATATCTCCTTCTGGTTTCACCCATTCGCCTCCTGTTGTGCTGATAGTTTCAGGGTTGGAGCGTCTATTGAAGGCAGCAATTTGTTGTGGTGGGGTGGCATAACGTCTTCGGCCATCCGATTGCAAACATGACTGCAGAGTATGAGAAACTTGAAGTCGTGATTCTTCCATTTCTTGTAACAGCTCTTTACTCTACACGCAAGAAAAAATATGTATCTGTGCAAAGAATGTTAATCTCGAATCGCATAGGACTACAAAACCTACTTTGGAAACTTGTGGAGGAAGGAAGGGATCACGATGCACAACACCCCCAGGCAATCGCTTCCTAGCGATTGCGTGCAAAATTGTGTGGGGATTTAAATCTGATGCTCGTCCCATTCGTAAAAATAATGAGCCGGGGTGAATGACAATAATAGTCTGCGCCTGTATTTGCTGCAATGAAAAGAAAGGCAATCTTAACACACGATGCACTTCCCTCGCAAATTATATGCACATACTATAAAGAATTTAACCAGATAGTAAAAATTTAACAGGTACGCTTCAATCAAGAACACGCTATTAGTTATTTATTGTATAATTACAACTTGTCACACATTCATCGGGAGGAAATCAATTTTACCTCTGCACATGATTCCTGAAACGTAGGCATTTTCACGTATAATATTACGAAAATCTATGTGAAGTAAAAATATTGATCCTATTACGACCACGAAAGTCTGTAAAACCTTTACAGGCAATAACTGACGATGTCTTCATAACCTTTCAAAATTCGGCAACACAACACACACGAACACCGAAAACACACTCACGTTTTGTTGACCGAATCGACACTTGTCGATATCTCGAAAGTATTATCGAAGTGAAACCACAAGACACAGCAGCAGATGTTACCAACTGTGATGTTTACGTTAAATACTTGTCAAATTATTTACCTAAGTTGTAAATAGTCTTCAGATGTATTTAGTAGTTACCTCTACGCATGATTGAGGGACATAATTTAAATGGTATCAAGAATATTTAGAGACACTGAAAGTACTGAACTTAATAGAAGACGACAGATTGACACATTGAAAGTCTTCAATGATAAGTAGGTTTCTATATAGTGATGCCCTTGTGACTGTGATTCAATTAAAGGATTACTTAGAATTTACTATGTGACGTTGCGACGAATTCTTAATTCGTTTGTCAAATTCACGTTCTGTATTTATTATATATTGTAGGTTAGAGATAGAAAGAAATTTATGGTTAGTAATTCACTTTTTTTATTCCTTTCTCTTTCAAAGTGTGACAGAAATCCAAGAGGATGTTGAATACAAAGTGGAATTTACTTCAGGAGGAAACAACATGGCACTGTTAGTAGTTTTAGGTCCGGATTTTCCATTAACAAGGCCGGTTTTAAAGATAAGGCCAGACATTGTGCACCCATGGGTGAATGAAAGTAGTGAAGTTGTCACTGCACCAGGCCTTATAAATGTGTGTTATTGTTAATTTTAAATTCAAAATTGCATGATTGTGCTTGTTGATTTTTTGTTAAGTGATCAACAGGGTAATTTAACACCAGTGTAGTACATTTTGTATTTCTTTGCAGTACACTGCCCATTCTGATCTGGGACGTGTTGTTCATGCTATTATTCGAGAATTTCAACTCAGACCACCACAGCTTTGTACTGATATTGGTGCAGGTGCATCTTCTAGTCAACAAAATGGTTGGTCTTGTCATGAATGACTTTTAGGAAGTATATCAAATCAATGATTTATGTAACATGAGACGTCTTCAATCTTTTCAGATGTGAATTCTGATGGGAGATCATCACCACTGTACGGAGTCATGTACCAAACAAGTCTCCTTTCATCCAATTGTAATTATGGAGGAATGTCTCAGTATTCTGTACATAATAATGCTGCAGCATTGCACTTATGTCCTCGAGGAACTCTAGCTTTTCCAGATTTAGCAAAGCTGACATTGGAGGAACTAAAGAAATTGGATGAAAATGTTGATAGGCAAGATGAATTCCTCCTCCAGCATCATCCAGATTCACAGAAGGTAGACATGTCCTTGGAAAACATGTTAATGAACAATGAGGAAGTTGCAAGTAAGACTAATCTGTTTACTCTTTTTCTGTATCGATTTCCACTGCTGAAAAGTACATATTTCATGTGTGTTCTATATTTTGCACACTTCAGAAGAAAATCTTTCCAAAGAACCACGATTACAACATTTGAAAACTGTTGTTAAAAAGAAATTGGATGTGGTTGCCTCATTGAAAGCTCAATATGAAAGTCATAGCAATGAATACCAAAAGCAATCTGAAAAATATGCTCCAGACAATATAAGGGTAAGATATCAAATACTCATTTACCTCCTTTAGTATAGAATGCCTGTAGCAGTTATCTTTTTCTTATTATGTCAGGATACGTTCATATGCTGTGAGAACATTTGAACTATTGAAACATGAGTTAAATGTTATAACATGAAAAGTTGCATGCCATGATTTAAATAATGTAGGTAGAATAAGCAATGAATCAGTTAGTTCTGTAGTGTTTCCATGTTAAAATGTCCTTCTGCATTTCAAGTACAATATAACTGCACAGCAACTACAAAGAGAGAGATTACATGGCATTTATATCACTTATAAAAATAGTGCCTAATTGAAAATGATTGCTCTGTGATGTTGGGTGAAATTTCTGTATTAGGCATAATTAACGTCTGCACCACATTTATGATAATGTAATCATTAAATTAAATTCTCTGTTTCGTTCTTCTAGGATAATTTACGAATAGCTACTGTGTGTACAGATGAAGAGAGTGAAAGAGTGGCTGACGAGTTCCTAAACAAACAATTGGATGTTGAAACATTTGTAACATCATACATGGAAAAAAGAACGGTAAACTCATTTGAAAGGTCAAAAATCAGGATTTGTTGAGTAGTGACCAAAATTATAAAATTTTGCACTTAGTTATTTCCATTTCACATTGATCTTTGATGTACTGTTGAGAAACCGACGTGAACATTCAATTGCCATTTCAAACAATGACATTTTATATTGTATATTTTCTTAAAGAAATTTACTTTTTGGCATAATAGTTATTTAGAAATATATTTTAATTGAAGTATATTTTAATTCATTGCCAGCTCATTATCACAAAATGGCAGAGTGTGCTCTGTGACTCTAGCTGTAATATATTCATGTTTTCGTAGTTCAATATGAATATTTGCACGAGTTTGTCATTAATAATTTCCACCACATATCTTGCATTTAAAAAAAAATTCTTTTCCACTTTAATACGAAAAGGAAGTGATATTTTATTATTTAAATGATGTTTGTGCTTTACTAAAGAAATGGATGCGGTGCAAAAATTGAGAATATCAAATCTCTTTGTTTCATATTCTTGGTATTAATGTTTCATTTGTGATGGATTTAGTTATATTTTTAAAATTTTGGAGATTTAAACTGATGTTATAAGAAACTAAAATGTTTTACCAAAATTAAATATTTTAAATTCATTCTAGTTCTATTGATTATTTCTTATTTTCTGGGAGGCAATATTTTAAGTCTGTGTTATTTGTAGCTATTAAATGAGAACTTCATCAGTTCTTACACTTTCTTAATATTTATGTAATTGTGTTTTCAGTCATTTTATTCCCGTAAAACGAGAGAAGAAAAACTGAGTCGCCAGTTACAAGAGTTGGAACGAGCTGGGTACTGAAAGTATTGATATTATTTTGGTGCTTTGCTTTTTAAGATTTTATTACACAAAAGCATTAAAGATTACACTGTATATGTTCATTCTGGTGGTGTGTCTATGTGCAAGTGTGTAGGAAATGCTATTTATTGAACTGTGTGTCAACTGCTTTTTCTCTATATTGTATATAAGGTATAAATGATTCTCTGCTAACTAAATATTTGGTTGGTACCATGTTGGTACTGTGCAATTTTACTGGTATGTTTTACTGCCACATTCATGATGCACATTTTTAAATTGGTTTGATAATGGTGGCCAGTGAAACATGTTATGCATGTGACGGAATAATACACATTTTGGAACAATAAATTTGTATTTTTCCAAATTTGAATGACATTACCATTTACCAAAAGCTTTATATAAAATTTTTCTGTTTTCCTTTTATTTGTATTTTTCACCCTTAAAACATTTCTATTATCCTTGAATCCTTTTCTCTTTGTAATATGACCAAACAATACAAGTTCAGAAGCCCTACAATTATTTATGAAGTGATGAAGTTTGGAGAGAAGTAACCATGATATTGTTTTATTATGAAATGAAGTTACTAGTGAACAGATTATCTATTAACTTTTCTCTTCTTTAAAAATTTAGAGCCTCATGATCTGAAGTATTAAGTTTAGTCATTAATTTATTTTTATTGGATGGGATAATAAGTTGTGCTTCGGTGTGCCTTACAGTTGTCAGAACTGAGTCACATGCTATTAATTTATAATAATATATCTAATTAATGGACTGTTCATGAGATGTACCCTATTTGCCACTTAACACATATGTTCTTTCTACAATTGGCAAACAAGACCCTCCTTTCTAAAATTTTGATGAGAAATATTATGAATTTGTTTCTAGAAAAATTGATTTAGTCCCTTCTCCAGCTTTAAATGTTTCAATTTGAAATTTCCAATTTCCAGTCATATGGGTTCTTCAAGTCTTTCTTACAGAGTTGAAATTTCTTTTATGAAAATAGTATGGATAATTTCTCTTTCCATCTAATGAAATAAATTCATTAAAATTTGAATGATGACAATAAATATTGTATCATTTGTTTATTGTTCTTATTACTTTTAGTTCTTTTACATTTTCTACAAACATGCTCTGATTATTTTTGCTACTACTGAAGCAAAACCTTATTAAAATGGCAACAGTGATTCCAGTAATGCAATTACTACTTATCAAGGTCTTCACTCCTAGTAAATGAATGCCATTATTGCTTCTTTGTCTTGTAGTTGACTGAAGGTTCAATCCATAGACATTCTTCTCAAAATAGTCTACCAATGACATGTGTTGGAATTATATACTGAAATTGTCCCTAAGTTATATGATCATAACCATTTCTGAGATCTCTTGTCAGATAATTCCAATATTCACAACTCTCTCGAGAAATAAAATGTAAGTGTAGTGATTCATTCAGGAATATTTCAGTCGCATAGATTGTGTTTCGTTCCTTAAAACAAAGGTTCCTGTTCAAAAGAGAGACCTTGTTTACCAATAACTTGCACATTTTGGAAACAGCTAAACTGTGTCTCGCACATGCTGTGTTATTTTATCAACACCTCTCTACTCTAGTTAAAAGAAAAAACATTATTTTCTGGACATATTCTCATTCGGTTTCCTTCTACAAAAATGCAGAAATAACTAATTTAAAACTTAACAAAAAACCCAAAAAGAACCAAGTATTCAAATCAGTGGGCATTTTAACCAATACTTTGTAGCTAGAATTTACCTTAGGTGTATTTGAAGAGGGTTGTTTTCTGTTTCAGGTTGTCATATTCTTCACATATTGGTGATTGTCTATTGAAATAATACCATCATAAATTTAGACTAGATAATTAAGTACATTGAGAAAATAAAGCAAATTAAAAAAAATAAATTCATATTCATTTCATATATCAGAATTCTTGGATTTACTGTGATAATTTATTGCAAACATAAATAATATATAGTGAAGTCTGTTAAAAAGCACAAGAAGTTTCTTATTCCAAATCTTAACTACACCAAACGAAACAAATATATCAAATTAATGAAATAAAAAGATCTTTAGTAAAATTGAGTTAATTAAATTTTTTGAAACAGTGGACTTTTGTCTATTTTAGTTTTTTCATCTTTTAGAATTTTTTTATATTTCTGCCGTTTTTTGTTGATGTGAATCGTTTTTGATGAAACATCCAGTTAGTTGAAAAATTATAGGAGGGAGTTTTGCTTATAATGAGGAAACTGATATTTAACCTTTAGATGGTGAAATGCTGAAGAAACTGCTGAAGGCAACTGCTCATTGATTTTGCAAAAATTGAAATAATCTCACTAAATATCTTTCCTTTTGCAGAAAGAAATCATTTGAAGAATTTATGTTGTGTCAAAATAAATTATGTTTTTACTACCATAGTTTTAAATTTTATAATTTGGTTTTGAATATTCTTCCATAACTTCTTGTATCTCCTTCCAAATGATGCTTGGTATATTCCCAAAATGTCAAGGTATTTATTAATAATTTCTTTTAATTTTATGGAACTATGTTATTAAATTAATATACCATTTATTGATTATTTGTAAAGATGTTCAGATTAGAGAATATTTGAAAATTCGGCTGTGTATTTCACTTTATTGGTTTACAAGTTGTTAGTGGATCTACTTGCTTTCTGAAACTAAGTTCTTACAGAATTACTTCTAAACAATATCAGTATTACCTTAGGAGAGGCTGTGAGAGAATATAACCAAAGAGAAAAAAAGAAGTATGTCAACAGCTAATTCCATTAATTTATCTACATCAATTAATTTTTAATTAGATCCCGATGGTAAAGGTCAACCACCTTTGAAACAATGATCTATGAAAAAAGTAAAAAGTTATTACATTGTTACTAATAAAAAATTGTCATTTTGTTAATGTCTGCCTCAAAAATTAATGGACATGGCCTTCTAATAATTAAATTGATAATGAATAATACCCACTTTGTGTAAATGCAGCCTGTACGACAACAGTAGCGGCTGATGCCCCAACGAACAGGTTGTGGCTCCGTCAAAAGACGAAAATGTAATTTCCGAAATTCAGTACACTAATACAGCGATTCCTGTCAATCAATAAAAACTAAGTTTAATAAAAGGCTATATTGAAACACTTCTTATATAATTTTGTGCATAGTATCCGTGTCAGGAGTACGCACATGGTTCTAGTTTTGATTTCCAGTGGTCACGCGAGTTTTTGTATTGTAGTTATGCATTGTGATAATTGACGGTAATATGATTCATAAAAAACAAAAAAGAACTTGTTTTCGAAAATACGGTGATCGCACTCCAGCACTTCGCGACAAGCGCTGTTGTTTGGGCACGTTTTACATAAAATTATTTTATTTCGAAAATTTCATTGCCCTGTTATATATTACAACAATGAAAGACCTTCCACACACACACACACACACACATCAATACACACTCATGAATGGCTCGCAGTCTGTCTGCCGCGATGCACACACCAGCACACACCGTGAATGAGAGAAAGGGTCTTCCTTCCAGAATGGCTAACTTTACGCAAAGGACTCACCAAATGCACATTTTGAATCAACAATCCTAACACACACACACACAAAACAACAAACAAACACCTTGGTAATTCCAATCACTATGTACATATGTAGATTATGTCTGTATAGTATTTGTTAATTACGAGTTGGATAGACTCAAGGATGCATTATTTTAAGTTATAAGGCATGGCCGACCTTTCCCATTGCGAAAAATGAAGCTAGCCCCTTGCAAGTTCGGTTTGTCTACCTGCTAAGCAGTTTGCCCAAAAAGCCTGAAATCCACCTTTTCACCCTTGTATTTTCTTTATTCCTATATTGATGTTTCCCAAAAGAAGATGTTTTATACATAATTAATTGTAATTAATATGCATATATTCGTAGCATCGTAGGCTTTCACGGCCGAGGTCAATAGGAGATAATTTTTCCGGGCTGGTAGGCCGTGGTCCAGTTGGCATTGAAGAAACGTTTGGCCCTTCAATGCCAACGTGACCACAGCCTGGACCGGAAAATTTATATTCAGACAATGTAGCAAAATAGACCTGGGAAAAATATGAATCCTCCCCAAAATTCATTGAGTGGCAGAGGAAATATTAAAAAAAAAAAAAATAGTTTCATCAAACTGTTTCATTCATTGAAACGATTTTTCCTTCATTAACTATTTATTTGTTATTACAAAACCAATTTGAAACTTCTAAAATCGTACTATTTTTTGTTTCTTTTTTGCAAAGAACATTCGTGTCATCGGCAAACAGAACCGTTCTTCCGTTTTTAATAGACGGTACATCGTTTACGTATAACAGAAAGAGGATAGGACCTAAGATCGAGCCTTGCGGAACCCCATATTCAATTGGTAAAGAATTGGAAAGATAAGATAATGTCCTTTCGTGTCAGTACGGTATTTCTACTCATTGAGATTGATGTTTAAGGTACGAGTTATCCAATCTAAGGCGATACTACGAATTCCATAAGAAGGTAATGTTGATAGCAAGATGTTATGTCAAATAGTCAATAACGTCAAAAGCTTTCGAAGGATCTAAAAATATTCAAATGGGTGTTTCATTTTGGTGCATTGACGAAGCAATATCTTTAAGAAAAGAATAAATGGTAGTTTCCGTAGATTTTGATTTTCTAAATCCGTTCTGCGAGACTGAAAACGCTTCGTTTTTCCTGAGAAAAGTTACTATTCGGGTATAGAAAAGCCTTTCTAATAAATTAGAGAAACCTGACAAAAGATAAATTGGTCGGTAATTTTGAATTTCATTTTTGCTCCCTTTTTTAAAAAGTGGCTTAATTTTTGCTGTTTTGAAAATATCTGGAAATATTCCTGTGCATTAAGAAGCATTGAAAATGTGAGTTAACGGGTGTAAGGCAGGTACACCTGTTTTCAATAAACAATCCGGAAATTCATCTAAACCAGGTTAATATTTATTGTTCAGTTTACTGACTATTCGTAAGATTGTGTTAAAAGTTTCGGTAATAAAAATCGCGTCGAAAACTTTTTTGGAAGGTAATGATGTTTTAGTTCTTTCGTGAGTTCAGCAGCAGTTCCAGAAAAGTGTTGGTTGAAGGGATTTGCCACTTTTTCTGGACTACTGGCCTCTCCTTCATTATCCTTTAAAACAACATTCTCTACTAAGTAACGAGATGATGTGGTCATATTTTTTACGATTTTCCACATTGCTTTAGTTTTGTTACTAGCGTTTAAAATATCATGGTTATGTTACATTATTATTATTATTATTATTATTATTATTATTATTATTATTATTATTATTATTATTATTATTAGTGATCGGTGTTGAGTGTCTGTGCTACGATGGTGAGAACAAATGTGGCTCTTTTTACGCGTTGCGCCGAAGTGGGTGTTTGGCTGCAATTGAATGGGCGAAATATTGCTTAGATGAATTGGGAGAGCATTAGCAGAAACTGCAACGAATATCGCCTTCTGTGTTTTCATCAGACGAGAGAGTTCTGTAAAAGAAACGAAACATAATTGACAAAGATTACTTCGCCGAAAGAATCAATGAGTATTGAAGAGATTGTCATGCTTACATCTGTCCGGACGAAAATATACGTTTTCCTTACGAATTTCAAGCTTGGTGCTTACAAACGTTCGCTGCGTTTTGGCGTTTGAGGTCGTAGGCTGCAGAAATGTTCTGGGAATGGCCTGTCCGCGCGCCGAATCAAACTTTCAATGAGCCCAACACATTTCACTTAGCTTCTGTGCACGATGCCCACGAAACTACTCGCTGCTCCTCTGATTTTCTTGATAATGCGAGCTTGTTGTGTCTGATGTGGAAAAAATTGGAATTCGAGAAATCTGACAATGGGTAAACTTTTCGTCGCGCCTGCTCAGGAGGTGATGCGATCATTTGGTAGCTCTTCGAATTGACAGAAAGCAGTTTACAATCGATGTCAAATAACTTTGTACAAAGAAATGAATATTTGGTCAACTGTGAAGGAATTCGCGCAGCCGGAAGTTTGAAATGAATGTCTTCCAAAAACGCCTTCAAAGAGTAGCGAAACTTAGCTGTTTGAAGCGTGGCACCAATTTTAAATTAATTTGGCAGTCCATGTACCATCAGTAAGAGTCTGGTGGGGCCAAGCGAAAGGAGTTGTGTGATGGTTTCAAGTGGAAGTTCGAGTGGTTTTGAGACCAAGTTTAATATTTTTCAATGTCATAAACTTTATTCCAATGAAAAATGTATGTAAGTAATAAGTTGATGTTTCTTTTCTTTCTCGACATTTTGATTTTATTTAGTCAAAAAACAGTAAAAAATGTATGTGACATAAAACTGCATTTGGCTTCAATATTCATAATGTTACTTGTTGAATTGTTTGACCACATTAACGACTAGTTTGTATGTATTACAGGACAAAGAAGGTGATTCTGCTAAGGAAGTTGATTC